ACGGGTAGTTATCAATGGCTCCATGTCTAGTTGGCAGCCGGTATCAAGTGGAGTGCCCCAAGGGTCGGTCCTGGGGCCGGTTTTGTTCAATATCTTCATAAATGATCTGGAGGATGGTGTGGATTGCACTCTCAGCAAATTTGCAGATGATACTAAACTGGGAGGAGTGGTAGATACGCCGGAGGGGAGGGATAGGATACAGAAGGACCTAGACAAATTGGAGGATTGGGCCAAAAGAAATCTGATGAGGTTCAATAAGGATAAGTGCAGGGTCCTGCACTTAGGACGGAAGAACCCAATGCACAGCTACAGACTAGGGACCGAATGGCTAGGCAGCAGTTCTGCGGAAAAGGACCTAGGGGTGACAGTGGACGAGAAGCTGGATATGAGTCAGCAGTGTGCCCTTGTTGCCAAGAAGGCCAATGGCATTTTGGGATGCATAAGTAGGGGCATAGCGAGCAGATCGAGGGACGTGATCGTTCCCCTCTATTCGACATTGGTGAGGCCTCATCTGGAGTACTGTGTCCAGTTTTGGGCCCCACACTTCAAGAAGGATGTGGATAAATTGGAGAGAGTCCAGTGAAGGGCAACAAAAATGATTAGGGGTCTGGAACACATGAGTTATGAGGAGAGGCTGAGGGAGCTGGGATTGTTTAGCCTGCAGAAGAGAAGAATGAGGGGGGATTTGATAGCTGCTTTCAACTACCTGAAAGGGGGTTCCAAAGAGGATGGCTCTAGACTGTTCTCAATGGTAGCAGATGACAGAACGAGGAGTAATGGTCTCAAGCTGCAGTGGGGGAGGTTTAGATTGGATATTAGGAAAAACTTTTTCACTAAGAGGGTGGTGAAACACTGGAATGCGTTACCTAGGGAGGTGGTAGAATCTCCTTCCTTAGAGGTTTTTAAGGTCAGGCTTGACAAAGCCCTGGCTGGGATGATTTAACTGGGAATTGGTCCTGCTTCGAGCAGGGGGTTGGACTAGATGACCTTCTGGGGTCCCTTCCAACCCTTATATTCTATGATTCTATGATTCTATGAAAGAGTTAAAATCTCTCTAGTAAACAAAACAAACTTGACCTGCATCTGAAACATCTAGTGCTTTCCTACTATCACATGCTTACAGTAAACCAGGCTTATTCACTGTATGCATGAATAGTGTGCAATCTGTATTACCTGGCCTAAGAAATAGGGCAAAATATCTAGAAAGAAGATTAGCGCCCACTCCACTAATTCTTCCCCACCTGTCTTGACGAGCCAGATTGCCCTGCTATTGCAAATCACATCTGTGTTGCAGATTTCAGAATAAAAACAAATCATTAAACTCAGTATTCCCTTCATACTCAGTAATAGAACGACTACCATCCCTGATGGAGCTGTCCTGTCATAGTGGAAACTACCAAGATGCCATTTAGCAAGTCTAGTTTGTATAAAACACAGCTATTTATATCCCTAGAACTGCACAGCAGCAGTGGGAAGTGATCAAAGATATTTTGATTATATGAATAAGAGTCAGTTTCAAATTTATCCTTGAGATGTACGCATGAAGTCTTTTAATACTGAGGCAGCAGTACCAATTAGGGGTGCACTCCTTTTCGATCATACAAGGATGGGGGTTTGGTCAGCACTTAGGTGGGGGTTCTTTAAGGCAAATTTAGTGTGCTGCAGGGAGTGGCTTTCATGTTGTCAGTATGTGGCAGATTTTTCCCTTTGAAGCTGAACTAAATCAATGGTCCTGCCAGCTGCTGAGAACACTGCTTTTCATAAATGATTTTGCTCTTGCTTATTAAAGATCCCAAGGCTCTTCTTGCACGAACTGGACTCTCAATCCTGCTGCTCTGTCCGAATTCCGGCTTGGGGAATTACAGTCTGCCTACCTAAATTCCTAACACCAGTTGGACAATATTCTTCTTCACCCTCGGGTGGCTGATAAACAGCTGACATGATCCAACCCAAAGGTATCCCTCAGCTTTGACGGATGGAAGTGATTCCTGTGCTGCTACAGTGATTTGTGATCATTAGATGCTGTAAAACTGCCCTGATTACTATGATTTCTCCCTCTCTAATAAGTTAGTAACACAAGACCCCATCATTAGAAGTGATCAAAACTAGGCCAGTTAGTCTTCTGGGGGCGTTAGTGAAGTGGAAAATCATATGGAAATGGAATGCAAAGAGACCAGGCTAGCTGGTCTGGGAACTGTCTCCTCCCCAACCATCGTCTTTCCACTTAGAGTGCGAATTTAGCAAACTTCTTTCTGAATAATAAAATGATCAAAACATTCCAGATGAAGAATCCGAGCCAGTGTCCTTATTTTGCCTTTTGTCTCTGCTGAAGTTGATATGCTCTGTCGCTTTTCAGTCCTTTTGGATAAACATGAAGGCACTTTATAGAGCAGGAAGATCTTATTTTATATATATTCCTGTATGGTATATGCATCATGCAGATTAGCCTGAAATGGAATCCCAGCAACGTAACCAAAACATCTTGATTCACCTCCTGTTATTGCTACGCCATATGCAAGATATAAAAGGTGGTGTTTGTACATAATCTGAAAAGGCAGCATTTCACCTGACCATTGTCTCTATATTCCTCATTCACTTTTACCTCTTGTATTTGTTCTCTCATCAATAGCTCTAACCCGGAAAATACTTAATCACACGCTCAACTTTATCCAGGGGGGTAGTCTCCATTATCTTCAAGGGACAGTGATGTTTTCTCTGATCTAATAATAGATTCCACCACCCCCTTGCAGGTGGTAGAAAAACCACAGTCTTCAAAGGGGCTACTAACCACAGTTGCCAACTTTCCCGAAGTAAATAAGCACCCCGACTTTCACAATAAGCCAAAAATCAAGCTAATCCCATTTCAAAACAAGGCCAAAACAATCCAGTCCTTAAGAACCCCATCACTCTATAAAAAGAAAAGGAGTATTTGTGGCACCTTAGAGTCTAACAAGTTTATCTGAGCATAAGCTTTTGTGAGCTACAGCTGAATGTATCCGATGAAGTGAACTGTAGCTCACGAAAGCTTATGCTCAAATAAATTTGTTAGTTTCTAAGGTGCCACAAGTACTCCTTTTCTTTTTGCGAATACAGACTAACAGGGCTGCTACTCTGAAACCCATCACTCTATGTGACTAGATCCCCCCGGTGTACAGTCTGGCACTGTGGTGGGTCCGCTGTGCTCCCCTGTCTCTCTCCCACCTTGCCCCTGCTTGTCAGGAGCCAATAAAAAAAGAAGAAGCAACAAGCTGTAAAAAGCTACAAGCCAAACAAGCAACTCACAAGCCAATTAAGCCAAAAACAAGCCTAATTTCTGTGGTTTTTTGGGGGGTTTGGCATGTCTGCTACTAACATGAGTGAAGTTACAGGTTTATAGGATCAGGACTTATATGATTAGCATTTTCTTCTCACTCCTCTTTTCCCTTTGTAAATATCTACTAAGATCTAGAGTTGTTATCACATCCCTTCACATAAACCCATTTTCCCTGGACCCTCAAATAAATATCCTCCATCTTTCTTCAGATACCATATTTTCCTCTATAACTGTTGGTCACTTGATTGGTCCTTCAGTTAGTTTCTCTGATAGTTGCCTGCCCCGTATTACAATGTGCTGACTGGAAGCCAGCACAAATTTAAAAATACTTATTTCCATAAAAATGCACTCATTGCCTTGCAGGCTGGTGACAGGCCATTAGACCAGCTTCGTATTAAGAGAAATGTATTATTATTTGTATTCCCAGAGTGCCTAGGAGCCCCAGTCATGGATCAAGACCCCATGATGCTAGGGTGCTGTATAAACACAGAACAAAGAGACTGCCCCATCCCAGTCTAAGTATAAGATGAGAGACAACAGCCGAGTTCAGACAGGCTGGGAAGAGACAATATTGGTCCTGTGGTTCCATTAGTCTGTCTGTTCGCGGGGGGGGGGAATCAATTTTTAAATCAGAGAAAAGACAACCAGTGTTAGTTTTATTTCTTGTAGCTTCATTGGAGCTCAGCTGTGACAAATCCTGGGCCGAATTTTCTTCTGGTGTAAACTGGTACAGCTTCAGTGGGCCTGCGCCCAACTCACGCCAGCTGAGTATTTTGTTCAGGCTTTGTATTCTTCATTTGGATACACTACAGCAGTGGTTCTCAAAGCCGGTATCCTTAACAGCACCCCTCAACTCTTATCAAGATAATTTACCATAGAGTCATCTTCTCATTACATTACATACACAGGCTTATTTTGTTTCTTAACATATTATTTTTTTATTGAGATATTGGGGCCTGATCCCACAAACCTTGTGGCAGAGACCATCAACTGGGGATTTCTATAAGCTTAGAAACTTCCAGTTCATGTCCCTAGTATGCTCAGGTCCCTATTATATTTAATTCTTAAGTACAACTCACACAGTTCGCATCCTTATCCAACTCCCTCTGAAGTCAACAGAAAGACTCCCATTGATTTCAACGTGAGCTGGATCAAGCCACTACTCTCTTAAATGAGTGCTCATTAAAAAATAGAGAGAACATTAGAAATGAAGCCTGAAAAAGCAAGTGTGTTTCCCTCCTACACCCATCTCATGGTTCTGACAGCTGCTGTGGCAGGGATCTTGTATTCTTTTCTTGGCTATTAGGAAATCTGTCAGTCAGGAAGGGATGGAGAGCACTCTGCTCTCTGATCACACAGGAGCTGTTTGATGACCCATGCTACTCAAAGGTTTTTTCTTATAAGCACATTACTTGTCTCACACTGTTTTTCTTTCAAACGTTCACTTTTCTGACACCTTGGACTCTTGGAGTGCTAGCATGAGCGTACTGTGTACAGTTTCCCTACAACAAAGAGCAGTAGTCTGAGGACTGCCTTTTAAAAAGGACCCTTATGTACCCAATTCCTTCCAGCTAATTTTTTCAATAGAAATTTGATTTCCTCTTCTGTAAATAATTTTTGCCTACAGTTCTAAACAGAAACCCTCCTCCTGGGTAACAGCATCTCAGAAGCAAGATTTACTGTTTGCAAGCCTATTCAGCTGAGATTTTAAAGCCTATTTGAAATATTGTCATTCTCATCCCTTCGGACAATAGGTTGATCTTGCAATCTTGGGACTTGATCCTGAAACTCTTATGCACACAACCAGTCTCATTGTCTTCAGTGTGGCTGCCAACGTGTCAGGACTGCTTGGGAGAGACGGGGTTGCAGGATTGGATCTGTGTTCAACTCACTAGCTTTCTTCTCTCATTATTATATTGATCCCTAGGAGCCACAGGCATGGTCCAGGACCCCATTGTGCAAGGTGCTGTACAAAGACAGAACAAAAACACAAGGGTTTGTTAAATTGACATGCATTTGGTAATAAAACCAGATAAGTAATAGAGTTATTTCAGAACCTGGCCTGCCCATATTACCTTGATGCCTATCTCTTATACTGGTTTTAAAATGAGATAGTACAGTTAATATCCTTTATCATAAAAGGTCAGTTCATGCAGCCCTTACTAGTCAGGACCCTGTCCATTATTGTCCCACTCCTGTTCCCAGAGCAGACAATGACAAAACTCCTGTTGACATCAGTGGTAAAGAATCAGGCTCTGTGGGGACTTATTATACTCATTTTAGTCCAGTGTTGCCACCTTCTGTGGTTTTATGAGTATGGCAATATTTGGTGGTTTTCCCCAAGCCTCAGCTCCTGGAGGCAAGTGATTTCATGAAAATATTCCATTTAAACATGAAGTCAGTGTCTAGACCTCCCAGTTGCAGAGAAAAGCTCAAAGATGTGAACTACATACACTTTAAAAGCTCAGAACCCACAAGGCAAATGGAAAGAACCTAGAATGTGGGTCCATTTTTTGAGTCTCATGATTCTGAGGACCTAGCTCATGATTTTTTAATCCTTGGGGTTGGCAATACTGCTTTCCTCCCATTGGGCCTATAGCTGCTCCCACTGAAGACCCTGGCAAAACTCTCACGGACTTCAGGGGAAGCAGTTACAGGCCCCTTAGTCTCTGCTTTAAGTTCAGACTAGAGATAACCCTAAGACAATTTCCAGGTCTAGCTCCCAATGCCTACAATGTTCAGAGATATCTGGCTATGTGGGCTGGGTTCAGGCTCATTTCAAGGGGTCCATCTCTAGGATGAAGATCCATGCATTTCTGCCATGAGATTCAATGTCCATGGTCTGTAATTTTAAAATTACAGACCATATGGTTTTTCCCATTATAGCATAACGTGGATTCTGTTTGTAACAATTAGCATCTGGACTCAGGGATTTGTTGTATAATGAAATGTCGGTGGGTGGGAGGGGTTATTGCACCAGTTATGTAGCTTGTGGTTCTAAGTTACCCTTTGTATTCATTTACTTTCGTGATTGCTGCTGTGATATGAAGACAGCCGCATATTATTTATCTCTAACATGGGGATCGTGAGCCTGACCTCCTTTGTAAAGCACTATAAGAGTGAGGTGTTACTATATCTCTGCACCCTTCATTAGCCCATGGTTTTCCTTTGAACATCTAGAAGTGAAAATCAGAATCACATTACAATATATCGTATTTAAATCCCACTTATAGCAGCACTTAATTAACTTTTAATCATCTAACACCATTTCATCTGCTACTTTGGATTCATTAATGTGGAATATTTTAACCAGCAAGGTCTCGTTTTGAAGAAAATTTGACACTTAAAACTGAACATCGTGTCTGAAACGTGTCCATTTCATCTCTTATACCGCTATGATCTCTAATCAGTGAAGTCGACCTGTTGATCGAAGACATATACATCTTTAAATACCCGCCATCACACTCAATGTTTAAAAGACTCAGAATGGCTCCGTCTACACAGCAGCTGGGAGGTGTTATTCCCGCTCAGGTAGATGGACACACACTAGCTCTATTCAAGCTAGCGCCTAACGTTAGCGCTGTGTTGGGGGCAGCACAGATGGTGACTCAGGCTGAGTACGGACGCTCAGGGTCAGGCAGGATCGTAGTTGGCAGGTGAGCCCCAGCTCCCATGGCAACACTGCCATTTTTAGACACTATCACTTCTGGGAATTACCCCTCCCAGCTACTGTCCAGATGAGTGGTTCTCAACCTGCGGCCCATTGGCTTCTTGCGGCCCAATCAGCACACATGTGACATCTTCAGGGCCAGACAGGTCGTATATATAGTGTGGATGTGGCCCACATAACACACGGAGATCGGCATATGCGGCCCACAGTGGTAAATAGGTTGAGAACCACTGGTCTAGCTGTAACCAGAGTGGTCTGCCTCTTTAAGAGAATGTCTGGCTTCTTTACTTCTTTTTCCCCCTTAGAGATGCTGCTCTCTTTCCTGCTCTGGGTCCCCTGTTTTGTGTGGTCTGGATATGCGAGTGAATGATAGGAATGAAATTTGAATGGAGGTGCCGCCTTCTTCTGGTTTACTTCTTCATTTTGTTAATCACTGTAGCATTTCAATCCCACCCAAAGACCTAGGGAATGGACAAGCAGGCAAATGCATACACCTGTGCGGATGGCCGGGGAGAGGGGGGGTATTAATGACTGACAGAGCCAGATTAGCCTAACTCTGCTGCAGGCTAGGGGCAGCAGGTGAGCAAATGGGAAGCTGAGGCACAGAAAATAGGATTTTTTAAAAAAGAATGCAAGATGACTATGGTTTGAATAATTTATATTTATCGAATAAAAACAAAGATGGGTGATGTAACACATGTAAGGTTAAAGAAACAGTTGATCGCCTGCTGTGGGAATGTAGGTAGTGTCCCCAAGAAGAACTATAAGAAGAATTTATGAGACTATATTGTGAGGGGTGAGGGAAAGTAGCGGGAAAGTGGAGTGACGCTACAGAGCTGTGGTATGTTTTCTGAAGAATAAAGAGCAGTGTAAGTGTGTATGAATGTCTGAGGAATAGAGTAGGTGTTGGTGATAGACACAGTAGGGGAGCCTGCTTCACTATAAAGCAGCCGAAGAAAACAAGAAGCTTCAGGGGAAGTGGGATTGGACAGAGAAGGCTTGATTCAGAACTGGCTACCCAGCCTAGTAATACTTGGGCTAAGATCCCTATATATATAGTACTGGGTCAAATCTATGGTGATCAGTTGAATGATACTTGAAAATTACTGCAGGTTAATCCCATTGTAAGTATGATAATTAAACCTGCTGTTAACACACTGCCCTTCCTTATTGCCAGTTCAATTCCCTTAAACATTTTACATCTTACTTCTTGTTCTGCCCTGGGGTGTTGTCATAAAATGCAATAATCATCTTCCTTTCTCATTTTCCATTAAAACACCATGTTACTTTCATTAAAGCTCCAGGCCCTGGGTAGCTGATGAGTTGTGCCCCCTTTGCTTTGAAGCAATTGGAGCCTGTTTCTGCACCTGGCTGAGCTATCTAGCAGGAGTGGGTTTAGGGAAACAGGTTTAGCTAGTTCTGCAGGTGACTCCCCTGGGGGCTGATTCAAAGCCATTGAAGTCAATTGAAGTCTTTCATAGACATCAGTGGGCTTTGAAGCAGGCCCACAGAGAGCTTTGAAGTCATGGTGAGTTTATAATGAGCCTCTTAAAACCTTTCCACCTAACTCACTAGTAGCAAAAACAGTCTTCTAGCCCTGTCTATACTTCAGGCGTGTGCAGGCAAATATGTCAGTGTGGCTTCAGCAGGACAGCTCACCAGTTTCGCTCCACTCCAGTGGTGTAAGTCACTGATGTAGCTACACTCGTGCAAAGGAACCTCTAGACAAACCCTTTGTGTAGAACCCCTTTTGGGGGTATAATAAGGGTTGTTTAATCTATATTGGAGCTAAGTATTATCATTTATTAAGCTGTCTGTGTTCCCAAAGGATACAAACTCATGGAGGTAATCTCTTTGCACCAGTCTGCTGCCTGTCCTTAGTGGAAAACCACCACTCCTTTCTCATTGCTCCTCCTCCCCCCGGCATTTCTGTGCCAGGAAATCAATGTGGCCCATGTTTGTTCATAGAGATCGGCGAATGAAACACAGAACTGACCTTTTTGTTTCTTTATTGGAAAGAGTAAAAGGCGATCCACCAGCAAAGGGCTGGTAATACACATTTGAGTAACGAGGTCCGATGAAGTGAGCTGTAGTTCACGAAAGCTTATGGTCAAATAAATTTGTTAGTCTCTAAGGTGCCACAAGTCCTCCTTTTCTTTTTGTAATCTGAATGACAACTAAGCCACTGTTGAGACTAAAAGGGCCGGGTAGGTTGATACCCCTGCCCATGTTCAGCCCCTCTCCACAAACAATCAGACTCCCTGCCTGGAAGACAGTCAACCCTACCTTAAAAAAGACACATCTGAAGAGCAACCTTTATGTCTCTGAAATCCACCACACTGTATCAAAAAGCAGGTAATTTTTAAATATTTCTGAAGGGAGGACACTCCCTCATCTACAAAACCTCTAACTCACTCCCCAATTCTCTAAAAGTAACTATTAGGACTCAAGGCCATACAGTGCTTTCTCAGTGCTGTTACGCTCACACAAAGGAATTAGATAAAAACCCACATATACGCCTACAAAGTAACACTGCTGTATTTCCTAGTATCCTGAACAATAACGCACAAAAACCCCTAAACAGAGAGAGACACAAAGCAGGCTGCTCCCTCAAAGAAGAGCCACAGCTCAGGCCACCTTACCTTATGTTGGCTGGCTGCAAACTGACTCCAATCAGACACTTTGCTACAGAGCCCCCTAGCTTAAAAGCAGGGCCAGTCCCTTCACCCCCAGGCTCTTAAATCAATACCTTGCTATTCCAACACAAGCCTTACTATATCACACTTGCCTGTAATTGCCTTAATTAATAAACAAAAATAAAAGCAAAATCAGAAGTTTAACCTGAAGGGAGGTCGGCAATTTTGCTGCAGCCGATGGTGTTTGCCAGGGAGAGGATGTGTCAGCTGACCCTTGTCCGATTCCTTATTTATCCTGGGTGGAGCACCTCGATCACGAACACTTTCCTTTCTCTCCCACCATTGTCTAGCACAATCTTCTCCTTTTCCTCTGGTCAACAAGACCTGTAACATTTTTTTAACTTCAGGGACTGTTTCCTGGACCCCTGTCCTGAAGAAGAGGAAGCATGGTCTAGTGGTTAGGGTATTGGCCTGGGATGTGGGAGACCTGAGTTTAGGTCCCTGCTCTGCCACAGACTTTATATGAGTGCCATTGGGCAAGTCACTAGAATTCCATATCTGTAAAACAGGGGTGATAATAATGCCCTCAAAAAAGTTTGAGTGAAAAAATGTTGGTTAAGGTCTTTGTGGCCAACATTTTCAAATGCGGGTGCCTAACTATTAGACACTTAAATAAGCGGTCTCATGTTCAAGGTGCCGAGCAGCCCTGGCTTCCATTGATTTCAGTGGGAATTGTGGGTTCCTGGGAACACTGAATATCAAGCCACTTATTTAGGTGTCCAAATTTAGGCACTCAAGTTTGAAACTTTTGCTCTGTCCTTTTAGGGGTTCTTGATGTAACAATTCCCACTATGGATCATTGGAGGGGACCAAACCTTAGACCTTTAATTCAAGTGGTAAGAGACTGACCTTTCAGTTAAAAGTCCAACTTCTAAGTTCAATCCCCTCTGACAACCGCTCAGCATCTCACACTGACAGCTGACCTCACCCAGCCATTTCATGGGGAGGGCATTAGAGGAAGGTCCTTTTCACTTACAAAGGGAGGAGGCACCTCTACAGAATCCACATGACTAGGGGGAAGGAGCGGAACTGATGCTAATAGGCAGGGTTCAATGGCCATGAATCAAAGACGTTTCTGCCTTCTGAATCAGGAGTTAGCGCCATAGATGTAGAGGGTTGGAAACCCTCCCTGCAGAGCCTGTGCGACCAGGATCAGAATCAGAATGGTTAGTAAAAGTATTTGGGTGGTATTTATTTGTTTTATGCAGTAACCCCCACATCCCTATTTAAGTGTTTCTGTACCTTCAGAAGTGTTGGAATGACTGTAACTGCATTTCATTAAAACAGTGGTCCCAAACTTTTACATCATGCCCCCCGCCTCCTGGAGCCATGGTCCAGGGCCAGGAGTGGGGCCATGGTTGGGGATGGGGGCTGAGGCTGGGGCCAGAGCCGCAGGCAGGCCAGGAGCCAGGGGTCGAGGCTGGGGCCGCTGCTGGGGGCAGATTTGGGGCCAGGAGCAAAGCCGCGGCCGGGCTGTGGTCGGGGTTGGGGCCGCAGCCAGGAGCAGAGCAGTGGCCGGGCTGCAGTCGGGGCTGGGGCTGGGAGTGGAGCTGGGCACAGGCTGCAGCTGGGGCTGGCGGCCAGGGCTGAGGCCTGGAGTCAGGGACCGAGGCCAGGGCTGAAGCTGAGGTTGGAGCCACGGCTTGGAGCCAGGGCTGCAGCTAGGGGCAGAGCTAGGGCCAGAGCTGGGCTGGATGGCACTCCCTTCCCACCCCCTGTGAGGGCTGGGCGGGCCCAGGCCTGCCACGCTCCCTTGAATGTACCTCTATAACCCCCAGCTGGCCGCACCCCACAATTTGGGGACCACAGCATTAAAAGTAAAACTGATCTGCTAGCTTCTGCCTCTGTAAAGATAGGGTGCAGTCCGGCACTTCTCCAGGAAAGAAGAACTAACTGTGCACCATGCTCCAGATAAATAGTACATTCTATTGCATCTTCAGGTACAAAGCGCAGGTCACCGATGGAGCTGCTCAACTTGGCATGAGAAGGTTTTGAAGCATCATGGGGGCAGGGGAGTGCCAGCATCCCTGATTCACCACTCGCACCGAGCCAATCATGGTTCCCAAGACCATGCATGTGGAGCAATATTGATATCACTGGTATGCTTCGGCTTTGTACAAGGATCTTTGGGCACAGCTGTACCCTTTCACTGCATGACTTGTATGAATGGTATTTGTGACACTGGCAGGCCAAGTGGCTGCTCTTGCCAAGGCTGCAGGCATTAGCTATGAACTGACAAACTCATGGCTGGCAACCAGACCAGTTCTCTTATGTGTTAGTGTTGCTCAAAATAGGTGTTAGTCTTATAAGAATGTATTTAGTGTTTAGACTCTGTAGGTTTCAGAGTAACAGCCGTGTTAGTCTGTGTTTGCAAAAAGAAAAGGAGTACTTGTGGCACCTTAGAGACTAACCAATTTATTTGAGCATGAGCTTTCGTGAGCTACAGCTCACTTCACTCTGTCGAACACTGGTAAATTGCTGGCTGCAGACATTAATCTTGTTTGTAATGTCTGTATTCAGTGCTATAAGGGAAAAAGCAAGTTTTGCTTTATAACGTTGAAAATGTTTGGTCTAAACCTGTGAACTCAGATGGGAACAGTGTTTCCTCCTCCCCCAGCCAGAAGGACAATCAAAATCAAATGGGCCAACAGGGAACATCAGAATACAAAGGAATGGCCCTATCACACCTTGGAAATGCTACATTCAAGGAAGTTTGTCCTCTGGACTTGGAGGCTGAATGAAGGAAATAAAAACAAAGACACAGGAAAATTTTCCATCTCTTTCCTGTTTAAACTCTCAGAGGGCCGGAGACACTGAGCCAAAGCCAGAGATCCTCCGGTGTTACTTCTGGGTCCACCCAGAAAGACACTCTGACTAGATAGATCATTACAATTCCATCACTCTTAGGATTTAGATTTAACTCATCTGTATATGTTTGCTTGCTTTAAACATAAATAACTCTCTTATTTATTTCCCTAGTTAATAAACATGTAAGTTAGTTCATTACAGAATTGGCTACAGGCATCTTTAGTGTGATGTGGCAAGATAAACTAGAGAATCTAAGGAGACTGTCTGTGACGCCATGATGAAATTGTTAGTGATCCAGGAGTTCACATTTGTTATTGGTTTGGTGAAAACTAATTTTAGAACACACCACCAGCTTGGAGAGTCTGCCTTGTTTTTGACAGTCTGCCCTGAGGTCAGCACTCATAGTCAAGAGCCACTTCAGAGAGTGTGAGAATATTCTCCATAGGTTCTTGCTAAATAAGGGAGTGTGCATTTAAAGTCCAATGACTTTGCTGGGTGAGATGTAGATAATGTGTACAGGTATCTCCTCCAGGGTGAACAAGGATGGTTTTGGAGTTAAGCTATTAAACCAGGACTTCAGAGACCTATGTTCAGTTTCTAGCTCTGCCACAGACTTTCTATGTGACCTTGGGCAAGTCACTTAAACCCAGATCCTTATGCTGTGTAACTTCACCCACAAGAGTAGTGCCTCTGAATCCAAGTCAGGTGAGCAAAATTAAGCATGTGTACACATTTTGCATGACCAGTGCTGCAGTTCCCTATCTGTGAAACGGGAATATTTCCTTATTTTACACAGGTGTTGTGAGGATATATCCATTAATGTTTAAGGCAATGGGGCCATGTAAGTAGGTTGGGTCCCTGGGCTTGCTGCTGCTGTCTCTTGATCTAGGTAAGAGCATGGAGTAGCATCCCTGGGTCAGATTGTCCCCTGCACACATAAACTCTATGGTAAGGATGGGACTGAAGAATAAAGAGCAGGTCATTCTCCACCCAAGTCCTATATCCTTTGCATCTTGTGCAGTACAGAAGACATGGCTCCCCATCAGGGATGGCTCTGCCGATGCGGTTGACCCTCTAGTGCCTCCATTTGTTTGACCATGAAGTAGTGCACAGTATTCTGGCTTACTGCTTATGCAGTCTCCATTGGCCCTATCACCTACCTTTAGAGAGACAGGCCTGGAGGAAGCAAAAGGAGTTAATGTTCTTTGAGTTCAGACATTAAATGCCAGGAGGAAAAATGACCATCTCTGAAGACAAAGATTTATAGTTGCTACTTAAAGGTCCCTTTTTATCCCAAGCCTTTTCTTCAAAGCAAATTCGGGTTGCTTCATATGAAAGTAGTCTGGTCACAAATGCACCAGTCCCGGCTAGCAGGCGGTAATTCACTTTGGGGGATAGTTCCATGCTACTGAATGAAACTGCCTTTCACATTTTATAATGTCAGCAGAACCTGTCAAATGAATTATTGCCTTGTAACAGACTCAAATATCTATTAGTCTGTATTTTCCAGAGCAGTTAATACTACTGCAATTGAACCCGAGAGAATTGCTATGCAACCTGCTAGAAGACAAAAAAAAAAAAAAAAAAGCAGGGGGGGTGTAAGAAAAGACCAATCTGCACCAAAACACTGCATGGGAAATCACTATCTTTGGCTGTAACTTCCTGGCTTGTGGGTTTGACCTTCAATCTTTTAGTATACGGGATCAGGGATGGCCAAAACTACAGCCCCAAAGAACTTTACTGTTTGGCCTGTAACTAGTTACATGGTTCGAGAGCTTTACATGTTAGGACCTGTAGCCTTGATGGGCTACACCTCTCTGTTTAAGATAATGGGCCCAGTCCTGTGAGATGGTGAGTGTACTCAGCTCCTCTTGGGGTCCTTATAAAACTGTGGGTATTCAGCACCACATCAGGGGCATCCAGCACCCCACAGGATTATGGCTTACAGCTACAGCGACTGCAATCTGCTCCATTTTGTGCAAATCACTTGCAGTCGGGGGGCTCAGGGATAGTTGCCAATGCATGTCCCTTATGTCGGGCCAAGTCTGGATGCTTGCGTTTAAGGCTGATGGTTTCTAAACACTTGGCTTTTACCCCTAGGGCTTGCATGATAGCCCATATGTGGCACTCACTTTGCCTGACACAACAGAGGAGAGAGCAGCAGCTGCAAAGGTTAATTTTACAATAGCTCAGGTGTTTGTGGCTGGCAGGCAGGCAACTTTTCCTATCTTTAGTACTAGACATTATTATATTGTTCTTTCATTTGCTAACTGCGCCAGTTATGGCTTCCATTTGCAGTAAATCTCTCCTTCTGTCTTGCCCTCCCCTATTAAACATAGGATGACAGCCTTTCCAGGAAGCCTATGCTGTGAATACAATTCACTGAAGCTTTAAAAAAAATAAAGGAGAAACAAAACCCAAAACCAAAAAGGTCAGTGCTAGCACAATGTTTAATGGGAAGATGCCTGCAAAGGTGTCCTAATTACACCCCAGAGCACTCGGAAAAACCTGCCCAGCACGCAAGCTTCCTTGGAAAATAAATCAATCAATCAATAGCTCTTCAAGCTCTGAGGAGAGCATCGCTTGCTTTTACCTGAGAATATGTCTTTGTCAAGCAAGAACAGATGTGTCTT